ATATGGTCGCCGTGATTTTGCCAAGTAAGACATGTTCCTGGATCAACATCTTTTGTTGATCCTGGATCAACATTACTGTCCAAAAATATAGACTAAACCCAATCCCTACCCCTAAACCTAACCCTACCCATAATTTATTCCTAAAATCAGTGTGAAATGATAGCTGATTAACACCTAACCCTGATCGTAAGCCTAAAACAGATATTTCCTGAAAAGGTATCTCTCAATCCTGATTGGTTAATTGGAATGTTGTTCCAGGATCAACAAGGATGTTGATCCAGGAACATGTTGTACTTGGTGAAATCACGGTCACCGTATAAGTAGGCACATTGAGACGCAGCACTAGTCTTTAATTCAATCCACACAAAGGGTAATCCACACAAGGAACGGCTAGAGACACACGTACATGACGAACAGCATGACGAACAGCTAGAGACTGGGGCTTAAATACACAGGTAAATGAGGGACTAATGACAAGATACACCTGTCCTGAACCAAATGACATAATGAACGGAAGACAGAAAATAGGTCACACTGAGCACATGGGGCAAGAAAACACAACAACAAAACGTCCATACTGGTGACAATTACGATTACATTGCAAGCAAATGTAATTCAGGCTATACCAGAAGATAAATTAATGAGTAAAATAATCGTAGCGGTTTCGTACCGGGGATTAAAACAATGAATAAATAAAAAAATCTGATTAAGTAAGTAAGCCAGATGATGTACTGTATATGATAAGCTGCGAAGGACATAGGCCTACTCTTTCAATAAAAATGTGCGCCGCTGTAAAATTAAGCGGGAGAAGTTTAGCCTATGCATTCCCGCCATAGATCCCATCAACGTGATAGTACCACAACGACACTTTTTTATTAGGCTACAACAAAATGACAACTTTGCCCCACAACTTGAGATGCTGTAACATTTGTATTAGCAATATTCTTCCCCGCGAACTGATTAGAAAAGTAGTACAAAACCACGCTTAACAAAAGATCTAACATGTCCCACGTGACCGGATGTAATCGACAACCACGACGTACAGCAAACTGCAAGGTCATGTGAGAATAATGTACTTTTATATTTGCATATTTTCAATACTGTTTAAAATTCAGTATACATTATATACCTTACTGTAGTATGCTGTAAAGCTATGTTAGCATTTGATTTTGCACTCAGCTCAGAGGAATATACTGTATTTGTCCTTGGGTTTCACCAACAACCTTGTTTGAAGTCCTGTAATCCAATGTCGTTTTTGGCCTAAGGGCAGTTCAGCTAAAGCAAATAACAAACTAAATTAATTTATAAGCAAATATGTTACATATTCCAAAAACAATATTGATTATAAAACTGAAGCTCATATTAATATTGTCTTGTTGCCTTCATTCCCTGAGCATAGGGGAAATGAGAGTACATGAGAGTTTTTGGTGTGTGTGTGTGTGTGTGTTTCTTTCAGTGTTAGATTAGATTTATTCATAGTAAAAGGATAGTGTTTGGCTTCTTTCAGTGGTCTTGTCAATAGCAGTCCTGTGAGTCATTGCTCTGGCTCCCGGGTTGAAACCACACCCTTATCCTTAAAATTTGAATTCCGCATTGCCAGTGCCATAATCATACTTACAAAGAAACGAAACTCAGTCAAGTACTGCCAGTGCCAGCACATCCACAATCATGGAGGAAACAGCTCCAGCTCTTCATTCAAGTGGATCCAGAGATGTCGAGTGTCATGCATGCGTTGGAAAGAAGCGCAAAGCCGAACAGACTTGTGTGGAGTGTGCATCATCATACTGTGAGCATCATCTTGTCGTGCATAACTCTTTGCACGTGGGAAAGAGGCACAGGCTTGTGGAGCCGAATGCAATGTTGCAGGAGAACATCTGCCCTGATCATGGCAAAATGCTGTTTGTGTACTGCCGCACAGACCAGCTGTGCATCTGTCACCTGTGCATTACTGATAAACACAGAGGTCATGATGTCATCCCAGTGGAAGAGGAAGTGGCCAATAAACAGGTCAGAAATGTGATTTGGAATGCAAAATATCATTCTTAGAAGTCTGGACCAGGACTCGGTGTTTAGTAGTGGTAGGCTGATGTTGGTTTTGCAGTGACCGTTACTATAACTGGAGAGCGACGTGACCAATGGGTGCTATAATGCAATATTTTTGTGATGGGTGTTTCAGAGTCGGTGGCCCTATAGCTAAACAACAAAAAAAGCTACATCTATTGGATATTTCTCTTAACTTTCCCCTTAGAAATTAATAGTATTGGTTAGCCTATTGGTTTCCCTGAATTCCAAGGATTAAACCACACCCAGAATATTTGAATGAATTCACAAAGGTAGAAATTGTAATGTTTAAAAAATTTGTAATACAGTAAGAACAGTAATATTGTAAAATATTATTAAAATTTTAAAAAATCTGTAATATATATATTTAAACATGCAATTTAATATCTTGTGTTATGTATAATGTAATTTATTCCTGTGATGGCAAAGCTGAATATTCAGCAGCCATTCCTCCAGTCTTCAGTGTCATATAATCTCTCAGAAATCATTCTAGTATGCTGTTTTGGTGCTCAAGAAACTTATTATTATCAATGGCAAAAACAGTTGTGCTGCTGTATTTTATTTTTTTAATTGTTTTGAAACTCCTAATAATTATATAGGCTAATGCAATTGAATTATATCTATACTGAGATAAACATATATATTTTTACTGAAGATCTTCTTGAAGATTTTTTTTAGATTTTGGAATTTGACAGTCAGACATGTTTACTGACTGAGGCTGATCATCCAAAAATGGCCAGATACCATTACCAGTGGTTAGCATACATGCTCGACACATTGCTTATGTGGGTGGAATGAATCTGAGTCTGGCCCATGTCATTTATTTCTGTACTATCAGTGCCAATAAAAGACTTAAAAACACTAGAATTTGTACTGAGTTGAGATGCAACTGAACTAAACTAATCTTTTTAAGATTAAGTTGGGGGAGTTGCAGAAGCAGACCGTTGACATTATTGAAGCTAAGGAGAAAGATGTGCAAGAGCTGAGACAAGCTGTAGAGCTTTTCAAGGTTAGAGGGCATTTATCTTTGCTTTGAAACTGTAACTGTCTTTATTTTTAATGGTATTGTATTGCTTGCATAGCTAAAGACATCCACTCTGCTCCTTCTTCATTCTTAGGCTTCAGAAATTAAGGCACTGGAGAAGAATGAGAAGAACTTCATTGAGCTGATCCAGTCTATGAAGGACAATCAAAGCAAAGTGACAGAGCTGATTCAAGGACAGACAAAGTCTGCAGTGAACGAAGCGGAGGGATTCATAAAGACTCTACAGCAGGAGATCAGTAATATGAGGACCTTAGATGCTGATCTAGAACGCCTGCAGCTGCTCTCTCATACAAACACTGATGTTCGATTTCTAGAGGTACAGTGATTGAAAATGGCTGTGAAACAGAAATGAATGCCTGTTGAAATGTCTTGTAAAATCTTCAGGTAAAAGTTCAAGTCACATTCAAGGTGTGTTTTCTCTCTCTACAGAGTGCTGTGTCTCTGCCCTCACTGACTGAGTATAAAAAAACATTCGTCTTCCTTGTGCATCCGTACAATTCTTTTGAGCGTGATTCCATGGCGGTTAATGAACTAATAGAAAAGCTAAACACGACCAGCAAGTTGAGTTTATTCATGATTTCCAGAAAAGGTTAGTAGAAGTTTTCATTTAAATATATTTCATGATTATATTATAGGTACTTCTCAGTTGAAAGGCTGCATTCTAGTGTTTAATGCTGAGAAGAACTCTAACCTGGAAGCCTCAGAAGAACACAGCCTCACTAGTAGTCAGCCTTTCAATTAAAGGATTAGTTCACTTCCAGGATAAAAATTTCCTGATAATTTACTCACCTCCATGTCACCCAAGTTGTTCATGTTTTCTTTCTTCAGTTGCAAAGAAATTACGTTTTTTGAAGAAAACATTCCAGGATTTTTCTCCATACAGTGGACTTCAGTGGCAGCCAACGGGCTTCAAAGGGCTCTATAACGATCCCAGCCGAGGAATAAGGGTCTTATCTAGGGAAACGATCAGTCATTTTCTAAATTTGTTTTTAAAATTTTTATTAGAAAATGACCTATCGTTTCACTAGATAAGACCCTTATTCCTCGGCTGGGATCGTTATAGAGCCCTTTGAAGCTGCATTAAAACTGCAATTTGGACCTTTAACCCATTGGCTGCCATTGAGTCCACTAAATGGAGAAAAATAATTGCTTAATTGCTTTTCGACTGAAGAAAGAAAGACATGAACATCTTGGATGACAAGAGGGTGAATAAATTATCAGGAAATTTTTATTATGGAAGTGAAATAATCCTTTAAGAAGCACCCTATGTCTGCAAATCACCTTATCTATTTTTCTTTGCAGTGAGAAACACTAGAATCGTAAGATCACCACCACCACAGACACAAGAGGAGTTTCTACAGTGTAAGTTTCCAATAGAACTGAACACGCAAAAGCATTTATTTTCTGATTGTCAAGTAATGCAACATAGTCCTTTATTTTTGGTGTACTAATATTGTATCTTTTCATATGTCCATTTATCTATCTCAGATGCATCAAAACTCACTTTTAATACCAACTCAGCACATGAAAGTCTAATCTTGAGGAATGAGAACAAGGAGGTGAAGGCCTCGCACCTGCTTCAGGACTATCCTGAACACACTCAGAGATTTAACTGCAGGGCACAGATCCTGTGCAACGAAGGTCTGAGAGGGTCCCCTAAATATTGGGAAGTAGAGATTGGCGGGGGCACTTGGGTCTGCATTGCTGTGTCCTACCAAGGGATCCGTAGAAAAGGCAAGCAGCGTACACTCTTTGGGAGAAATGCCCAGTCATGGGGACTGCGCTGTAAACGTGTCCATATAGAATTTTGGCATGACAATAAGACAACATTTTCGAAGTTTCAATCATATGGCTCCAAAATAGGAGTGTATTTGGACTACAGGGCTGGAATCTTGGCATTTTACAATGTGTCTGACAACATGAGTCTCATTTATAAGCACCAAACTGTTTTTAAAGAGCCTGTTTATCCTGGGTTCGGACTGGCTGGGAATGGTTCCTACGTGAGACTTTGCGATCCAGTGAAAAATGAGACCAAAACATCCCTTTCTTCTCCATTAATGTTTGGTAGTTTGTAAGTTGTAGTGTTTACACATGCAGCTGTCATGAAATGCATCTTATTCTCAAATATGCAATCATTCATTAGGATTTGGAGGAAGGATGTGTTTTTTTTGCATGTAGACACGTGGTGGCAGCACTAGATAAGTTTTGAATTCAGCCTTTTTATATCAGCATCTGTAATTATGAACAGCTCAAGTTTAGCCAAGAATAACCAAAGAGGAAAAAAATCCATGTTTTGTATTATATGAATCATTGCATGTTTATTGAATGTTTGATTTTATATACTGTTTTTAAACTATAGCAATATGCATAATCTCTATTTTTAACATCTTCTGAATATTTATGAAATTATTGCACATCTCCTTATGCTAATGTTGCAAGTGCTTATCCATTTCACATCTGCTGATCTGAATGGAAATCTGTCGTCCTATCTAATCCTTCCGCCACATCCACATACTATATCTGTTCCTGTTCCCACTATCTGTCTATATTTTATTTCTCCGTTATGCATTAGTCCGTCTCTCCTGTCATGCTCCCTTCAGGCTGCACTCTTCTACTATTCCAACAATTATACCTACATGGTCTCTTTTTCTCCCTTAAACCACACAAATGCACATACTAACACACACGCACATCATCTCATTCAGCAGATATATACCGAGGCCCAGAGGGTTGGTACAAGGGACAACACCAAAGCCAGTCGCCTCCTGCCCTTCCCCCTGCTACCCACCCTTCCAAACACAAAATCAGCCTAGGGGTAAGTGTAGGGCAGACACGGTTTCAACAGAGCAAGCAATGCCAGAGCAACAGAGAAGCACAGGAAATGTGTGTAGAGGGAAGGATAGGCACTAATAGCGAACATCATAGAGAGAGAAAGTGTGCCATGGTCCTCAGGGAGCCCATTTACAGTTCTGTCCAATCACAGACATCATTTTCTGCCTGTATTATCCTTTTATGAGTGACGGGGATTTTAAAATACTCTATTATGAAAGAAACCATTTCTCTCACAGCCAAGGACACTGACACTAGTCTCTATAAATACCCGTTTTTAAACACTGAGTCACCGTATAGACTCGAAACGGTAGGCACAAACACCTCCTAGCAATTACCCAGTAGGCAGATGCTGAGGTCTGTCACTCTTGCTGCTAACAAGGTGCATGACTCTCTTGATGCTGTTGGAGTAAGTTGTTGTATAATACACAGTTTTCTCTCTCACACTGATGTATTTCCTGTTGAATAAAGAGGTTTGGCTGGGACATATTAGATGGCTTGTCACTGTTTTTTTTTTTTTAATTAATAGCCCTATAGGCTAGTCAGTTGCAAGTGGTCTTGGGGGAGGGACTTATTCTAAAGAGCATTTGATTGGACAAAAATTTGTACAGGGCAAGGTGAGTCATCAATATGTATGGTCTGCTTTCCCAAACTAAAAGTGCTATTTTGCTAAAAGTTAATTTTGTCAACATTTAAGCGAACACTAGCATATTTATTACCCTCAAAGCTAACAGATGTGCAAGAAAATCCACAGAACATTTCCTGCCTGATTTTCTACCTGTTATTATGGACCTATCTGGTGAACGTGATTTCACCAAGTCCAATCAACCAATGAGAATTGAGGGATAAGTTTACAGGAAATGTCAATTTTAGCCTTACAACCAGAGTTAGGTGCTTCTACACCCTTGTTATTCAACTATCATTTCCCTCTGATTTTAGGGATAAAGTAGGGGTAGGGATAGGGTTAGGTCTATGTTTTTGGACAATAATGTTGATCCAGGATCAACAAAAAATGTTGATCCAGGAACATGTCTTACCTGGCAAAATCACGACGACCCTGTCGAGCTAGCTAGCTATACACTGTAGTATACTTTTAAATGAATACTTATGGAAATAATTTACTTAAAGTAATTAAACATTTATATTGAAGAAGTTGCAATTTATTACATTTCAAATGTATTATCTTTAAATTTAATACGACATAAACTTAAAATTATAATCAAGTACTTAACGTGCATTAGCATGTTAGTAAACCCTTCAAAATAAGCTTCTTTAAAGCATGACACAATATTATTAAAACATGGGGATTTATATTGTACTTTAAAGTAAAACTCTATCATCTATCTATCTATCTATCTATCTATCATCTCATGCACGTCTATATATTATTAAGTCAAAAAGATGAAAGGACTTGAGTCATGTTCCCATCCAGGCACAAACCTTGCGTTTGCATTATTAATTCATCGCTTTACATACAGTAGATACATGCACACTTGTGTGTGAACTCCTCTCTCATGCCCTCCTCCTCCTCCCCTCGCTGGCTCTCTACAGTATGATATGTTTATAGGCAGTGGCTGAGAGAGAGCCAGCATTATAGCTGCTCCTGCTTGATAAGGAAAGCAAGAGGAGAGGGCGCTGGACGTCATGGCATCCAAAGACACCGTCGCGACTGCTTTTCTCACCGTGAGTCGGGAAATGACAGGTGAATAAATCCAATCGCTCTTTTTCTTCTTCCTATCCTACATTTGACGCGCGCACCGTGGGATTTGTTAAGCGCGTCCCCGCTCGCTGCCGGTGCTTTGTGTTTTAGTGGTTTGAAATCTTCACAGCGCTGAATGTTTGGTAAGGTGGCAGATTTGTGGAGATGTAATGATTTCTCATACAGATTGCATGTGATTAACGGTAGAATCATTCATTTCGCGGGTGAGCATGTGTGCTTATGGTCGCTTTAATGACGGTCACTTCGTGTCCATCTTCAAAAGACTAAATTTGTGCAAATCGATCAGTTCGTTTCCTGTATGTATGTGTGTGTGTGTGTGTGTGTGTGTGTGTCTGTTGCGTTCTCCTGCAGTGTGTAGGTAGTTGTGTGTGTGCGCGCGCGCATGATGCTGTTCTCTCTTTGATGTGTCTCAGATATGAGTTACTTTCAGTTCTTTACACATTTGCGTATCGCTGCTGACGCAAGTTCACGGAGAGGCTGATACACTTCAGTCACATTCATCATGTGTGTCTTCAGGGCTGATGGGCACACACACACTCATCATAGAGGCCGTCATCTTTGCGCACGGTGATGCGTCCTCCTCACACTTACTGACACATACAATGACACTGCTAGAAGCAATGCTAGAAATGATAACTTGTTAACTGGTTTACCATATACTCTATCACACACACACATATGTGACCATGGACCACAAAACCAGTCATAAGGGTCCATTTTTTTGAAATTGAGATTTATACATCATCTGAAAGCTGAATAAATACGCTTTGTTAGGACAGGACAACATTTGGCCGAGATACAACTATTTGAATATCTGGAATCTGAAGGTGCAAAAAAAAAATCGAAATATTGAGAAAATTGCCTTTAAAGCTGTCCAAATGAAGTTCTTAGCAATGCATATTACTAATAACATTTTTTAATTTTTATATATTTACAGTAGGAAATTTACAAAATATCTTCATGGAACATGATCTTATTATCCTAATGATTTTTGGCATAAAAGAAAAATCGATAATTTATTTATTGTTGGCTATTGCTACAAATATACCCATGCTATGACTGGTTTTGTGGTCCAGGGTCACATATATAGACATATATAGTGTGAGACAACACATTATCTTATCGTAAAGTTTTTTTTATTGTCTTATAATTAACAGTGATATTGAGTATTTAACAAGGCAATACATATACTTTTATGGTAATATCAGGGTTGTCACTTTAATTTACAGGGCACAGGACCAAATTATTGGGACCAGTAAGATAGGGGACCTTAATATGCCCCCATTGCTTTGGGCCCGGGACAGTGTTCCCATTTGTCTTTCCCTGTCGATGGCTCTGGGTAAAATATTTTAAAGTTCATAGCTTTTATAAGTATAATCAACTTATAATTTATGGGGAAAGTGGCATTCCCATAATTATTTGCGTGAAATTGTTTGAATTTATATTAAAAAAGAAATGGTATTAATTAGGCTATGTACATTACATTAGAGTGTTTAAGTTATTTAGTTCATGTTTATTGCATTATTCTGCCATTTGCAGTGTTTGTGATGATGTTTGTGTGAGTGACACTGTTCATTCTATTACTGGTCACTGGAGAGGCTAATTTTGATGAATTGTGAGTCATCATGTAGCCTTCCATTGTACCATTTGTATCATTATCAGCACTTTTGCAGTAATCTGCAGATTCTAATAGCTCAGATAGGATGGTGTATTAATATTGTTTTCCTTTTGGAAAGCTGAAAAGTAAAAAATGGTGAACAGTCACGACTAAAATATAGCCTAAACTTTCTCATACATACTGTAGAGTAAATTCAGATCAATTGAGCCGCTTTAGACAATAAACATCTCAATAGCAATATGCCTGAATTCATGCTATCTAAATTGTAACCTAAAATCTTGATGTGTTAAAAAGGTAAAATTACAAAAGAGCACAAATACAAATAAAACAATAAATTTGGAAAATGTTCAATCAGTCGAAATAAACCCACCTCAACACCAAGCTTATTTCACGGCTACCTGCTAAATAAATATATAAATGCATGTAGATTATTGATTTGAGCTGCAATTATTGGATTATGTGAGAAGGAAGAGACCATAGAGTGACGTGAGAAACATGAAACTGGTGTAGTGTAGGACAAATATACATTTAAGTTATTACATGATAAATATTTGACCGGTCATTTCAGAATGGCATGTAATCAGCTAAAGTAAACAGTCCAGAGTAAAATAAAAAAGGAACAATAAGCACATTTAACAAAAATGAAACATTAAAATGGCAACATTAACTGAAGATGAAAAATAAGACTAGATATAAAAATAATAGTTAGCAAAGGTTTAGTAATGGGGGAATAGTGGGCATGACAGATCACCTACCACCATATGAAGGACAGTGATTGAAGACGTTCTGTGCTGCTAGAAAACAGCAGCCTTTAGATTCCCCTAATAAAAAGGGGAGCAAAATCACAAATGTGTGATCTCTCTCTCCATCTCTCTTTCTCTCAGTCACCACTTCTTTCATCTGTTCTAAATCTCACTCCATCACTTATTCCTTTTTTTTTTTTTTCATCTTCTCTTTCGCTCTTTCTTTGTGCACATTTACATATCCCTCCCTACCCCATTTACCCATTTATTTATCCCCCTGTGACTCGCTGTAATGGAAACATGTGCTCTAGTTTTGCCCTTTGCTGTTCTTAGTGTCTGTCAGAAAGCCTAGGATCCCGTGATTGGGTCTTACACAGATTAAAGTTGATTGCGACTGCATTAACTGTTTGTCTTGCTCTGATCCTTCTCTCCCTCTCTCTCTCCTCTGTTATTCCTTCTTCTGCTCGCTCTGCCTTTCTGTTCCTTCACGGAGTCTTTCCTCTTTATAAAAGTTTAAAATGCATATTCCAGGAATTAGATCACAAGTTTAAAATGTGATTGTTCGCACGTACATATACAGTACGTGCGAAGCCCGATAAAAAGTATGACTTTTCTCATTTATTTTCTGCTTTTGCTTTGAAGCACATCTTGAAGTGCTTTTTATTTGTGTTGCTATGTACAGTATGCATGCAGAAAGACCACCTACACAAGTGGACATGGTGTAAAAATACAGCATATGGGTATAAAGCAGTCATTTTCTAACCCTGCGTGCAGTGAAAATATGTTTGAGATAGATAGAGTGCTTCTCCTGCCGTTAATGCATCGCCTTTCTATTTTGCAGAGAGCATCAGACGAGTTATCGACAAGACATCAATCAAGTTGATGAGAGCTATCAAAGTAGAGAACAAGAGTGGCAAATCAGAAGATCGGATTCTGGTAAGGCACTGCATTTAACTTCCATATTTAACTGCATTAACTATCCATATGTCCTTAAAAGGTCAGTTGACGCAAATTAAAATTGTGTCGTCGTTTACCATCAGGTTGGTCCAAATTTCCCAAAATGTTTGTTCTTCAGTATATTTGATTATGTATGTGTGATAAATTTTTGGACATGTATTGAATTTATTTAATACACAAGTTTCACAATTTGAGTTGAATTACTGAAATAAATGAACTTTTCCACGACATTCTAATTTATTGAGATGCACCTGTATATATCCATCATAAATATATATATTTATGTTTTAAATAACAGCATATATCATCATATAGGTTTTATTAAGGTCTACATATAAACATTTATCAGGTATCATATATGGCAATATCACTCTTGATAATTGATATAGGGCAATATATATGTGTGTTGTATATTACATTTCAGTATAATTCTTTATTTTACAT